TTGTTTTTCTGCAACGTTGATATTGCAAATCTAATTTCCTCTCTGGTTATTGGCCCCTCTACAGGGAGTCTATCATCATCTTGTAAATGAGGCACAAGGGCAATGAAGTGGTTAGCTTCTTCCTCAAAATTCTCCTGAAGCTCAGCCGCGGTGAACAAACATTTGTAATAATCTTCAAATGCGGCTCTTATTTCACATGTCTCTGTGCAAAGGAAACCCCGTGACTCAATTTGCAGTATCTGTTTAGAAAGTGCATATCTCTTTTCATCCCCGAGGGATTTTTTAGTGGGTTCCTCTTCAGTAAAATGGGTAACACGGGAACGAATCTTAGCTCCTGTGTATATATCTGTATCATGTTTTTGTATCTGTGCTCGAATCACATTTATCTCGTCCCCGTACAATCCCGGCTGTTCACTTTCAAAAGTATGGAGCTTATGAAGTAATTCATAAAGATAGCGCTTTTCAGCTTTTTTTCTTTGCGCTATTTCGCATGAAATACTAATTGCCTGATACTTGACTCTTTCTTTGAACCTTTCCCATTGAGCGAAAATTGGTAGCTGTCGACACTGTGTTACCTCTTGTACCGATTCTTTTACTATTTTAACAAAACAATCTTCGCACAATAACTGCACGTTAAGCCTCTATAGGTCCCAGTTTAGAGGGGATTTACGAAAATTTTTAGGACCTCAAGAAAATTTTTAGGACCTCTTAACTAAAGCCACAACGCTCGCGCGAAACTCTCCGCTTGTTATAGCAGGCGACTTCAATGCCCCCCACCCGTCATGGGGTTACCCCCAGGCAACGGCTAAAGGCACTAACCTCACGCGAGCAATTGACGACTTGTCCCTCACACTCATCACAGATCACCGATTCCCTACGAGACTTGGAACATCGGTACAACGCGACACTACGCCGGACTTGGTATTTACCCGTAACGTCACAGGCCACACCTGGACCAATACGCAGGAAAACCTGGGCAGCGATCACTTCATCATACGAACCGAACTACCCAACGCATCAGCCCCACCCCGTACATTCACGCTAACGGACTGGGATGCCTTCCGCACCCTCCGCAAAAACAACACAAAGGAATACAACACATTCATCGAACTACTCACCTCACTTCAGGAAGACATAGCCAAAACAACGAAAACAATACAAACAGAACTCGAGGTCCCGAGAATGGACCCACATCTGGCACATTTGCTCGAGGCAAAAGCGTCAATACTCGCGCGCTGGAAAACACAACGACTAAACAGACGCTTACGAAAACGTCTATCAATACTGAACCAAGACATTGCCAAATATTGCACGGAGCTCACACGACTCCAATGGCATGAACTCTGCTCGGCGGTCGACGGCCGCATGCGAACTGGGGGTAAATGGAACCTCCTAAAATACATGCTGGACGACTGCGAAACAAAAAACAACCAGAGTCATGCCATAGACCGGCTCCTACACTCGCACAAAAAGATGGGAGGAACAAACTCATCCTTTCTTGAAGAAATCTCCAAACGTCACCTCCCCTTAAACACAGCACAACCCACCGACTACCCAGAAATAGAATGCGAAACGATACCCGAACTCGACGAACCCTTCACGGAGTCAGAAATTCGGGAGGCATTACACAACCTCAACAGCAGATCAGCCCCCGGTCCTGACAAGGTAACCAACCGCCTGTTGCGAAATTTAGACGACCAAGCCATCACACTACTCACAAAAGACATTAATTACATGTGGGAAACTGGCCAGGTACCTGAACAATGGCGCACGGCCACGGTAATCCTTCTCTCAAAGCCAGGTAAACCACTCAACTTCGACAATCTACGCCCGATTTCCCTAACCTCATGCATAGGAAAAGCAGCTGAACATGTCATCCTAAATCGTGTATCGCGCTACATAGAGGATCACGAACTCTTTCCGTTCAACATGGTCGGGTTCCGTCCGCACCTTTCAACACAAGACGTCATGCTATTACTAAAGAAACAGATCTTCGACTCAAAAACGAGAGATGTTCGTGGCATTCTCGCCCTAGACCTCACTAAAGCATTCGACAGCGTCTCACACCGCTTTATACTGGAATCCATTGCCAGCCTTGGTCTCGGTAAAAGATTCCAGGCGTACATTCGTTCTTTTCTGCAAAATCGAAAAGCTCAGCTGCATTTATCGCAACTTACATCCGACACTTACACATTAGGTTCCAACGGGACACCACAAGGGGCAGTCATTTCTCCACTCCTTTTTAACATAGTAATGAAGGGACTATCTGACAAACTCCGCGAGATCCCAAACATAAACCATGCTATATACGCAGATGACATCACCATCTGGTGCCCGGGAGGCTCATTGGCGGAGTTGGAGCAAGCCCTTCAAACTGCTCTCAATACCACAGAAGCCTACTTAAAAAACACTGGACTTCGTTTGTCGCCCACAAAATCAGAGTTGCTACTGTACCGGCAATCTCGCCAAGGCGTTCGTAACTTAACACCCTTAGGTGATCTACCCATAGCGCTACACGCCAAAGATGGGCAGCGAATACCCCGCGTGGACTACATACGCATTCTCGGCCTCCTCGTCGAGGCCACTGGCTGTCATGCAAGAACAATTAAACATATCACAGCTAAAACCGAGAACATGCTCCGACTCATTCAGCGAGTCTCGGGTCGTAGACGAGGCCTTGGAGAGGCCAACCTTCTGCGCATATACCACGCGTTCCTAATGAGTCACATCAATTACGTCGCCTCTGCCCACAACTGGACGAAGGTAGAAAAGACGAAACTAAACACACTCATGCGCAAAAGCATTAAACAAGTCCTTGGTTTGCCTCAAAACACGAGCACTTCCCGTCTCGACCAACTAGGCATGCATAACGGCATCGATGAAGTGATCGAGGCCCAGACCACGGCCCAAGTGATCCGCCTCTCCTCCTCCAAGGCAGGCCGCCGACTTCTAAGCGAGGCCGGCATGTCCCCACACCCCTGCCTTGAACGCGCAGTAACCCTCCCCAGAGTTGTCCGAGCTACTTACATGGTAACCCCATTTCCGCGAAATGTCCACCCACAACACAACAAAGGCAGACGGCTGGCCCGCGCTCGCGCGATCCTAAACCGTACCGCCGCGAATCGCAACTCTACCGCATTCGTCGACGCAGCGCAATACGGTAACTCCTCCTCTTTCGCACTCGCGGTAGTAGATGGCGACGGAGCCCTACGCTCAGCCGCCTCGGTTAGGCTATCAACAAGCGCCATAGCCGAACAAGTTGCTATAGCTTTAGCGATGACCGACCCCTCACTCACTAATGTCTTCACAGACTCTCGCGCCGCCATTCGGGCTTACGAAACCGGCAACATCGCTCCAGAAGCAGCCCGCATTTTACAAACACGGAAATATACGGGCTCGCACTACCTCTCTTGGTTCCCTGCCCACATGGGCAAAGACGTTCACCCACAACAACCCAACCTCAACGAAATGGCTCATGATCGAGCACGAGAACTGACCCGCCGTGACGATCAATCAGCCACCGAAGAGCTGGGCCCAGACGTGCAGTTTAATGACCCACTACTCACCTTCCATGAAATTACCTCCCACTACCGACACAACAGAAGCCGATACCCTTTACCCCATTCAAAACTCGAACGCGCGCAAGAAGTAGCCTTTAGAATGTTACAAACGAGATCGTACCCATCACGGGGCCGACTCAGCCATTATAACTCAGACATAAATTCACAGTGCCCAGATTGCACAGAAGTGTACTGTTCACTCGCGCACATGCTCTGGCAATGTCCCGCGTTACCTCAGGGACCTCTCACCAGTGAGTCCGACTGGGAGGAGGCACTCAGGAGCCCCAATCTCCGAAACCAACTTAAGGCAGTCCAGAGGGCCCAAGAACTGGCGGAACGCCACCACGTTCCAGCCCCGACTCGGGCGTCGCCTACGGTAGCGGCTGCTAGGATGTCCCACGTGGGCACCCTGGTGGCTTAAACTCCTCAGGACCATATATTAAAGTTCTTGACTGACTGACTGACTGACCTCAAGAAACAGTGACCAAGCAATGGTCTGTAAAAGATATGGGCTTTACAGCATAATTATGAATGTGAGACCATAAGCTTAGAGATACATATACACGGTCAAGCCGAGCATGAGAGATGCCTTGAAAGTGCGTGAACCTCACCGAGGAATGTGCATGCGCTTCCACATCTATTAAATTGTGGTCATTCAATAGTTTCTGCAATAAGGCTGCACTTGCATCATAACGATTTGTTATATATGAATGATCTCTAGCGTCACAAACACAATTAAAGTCTCCAAAAACTACCTAAGTTCTGTCAGTGTTTAGTAGCGAAGTTAAAGAAAGGAAAAAAGAATTCCTTTCATTCACTTTGGAGGGAGCATAGACACAGATAAACCTCCAATTATGGGAATGAAAAGATAAGTCGCAACAAATGAGGCGTCCTTACCCATCAACATGTAGTGACGTCAAAATATGATTCAAGTGCTTTCTAACTAATAAAAAGCATCCAGCGGATGCACCACGTGCTGGGCTGATGTATAAATTGTAATCACGGAAAACTTCCAGTGCAAGATCGGCGTCACGAGCAGCAGAAATCTTAGTCTCATGCACTGCAAGTACATCAATGTTGTACTGCTCAAGCACGTGGCGCAACTGCCACTGACTCATTACAATCCTCAAGCCACGTACGTTGAGTGTCGCTACACACATGGGAAACGTTAGTGCGGTAGCCATTTTGATATCTTACTACTTTTGTAGGTCACCTTTAGCCACAGGCCAACCTGTGGCTTTACCTTACCTCCTTTGCACTTTTTAGGAGCACTTTCCTCAGGACACTGGCATAGGCGGCGCGTCTCTCAGTCTCCAAAGAAGGTGACACGTGGACCACACGAAGACCGTTGCTCTGTCGTGTCTGGCGCACTCGTTGTTGCTTCATCGGTGACCGGTGCCTGACGCTTCCTTGTCTGACTGCAATCCATTCCTTCTTGTTCCTCATTGTCAGGAGTTTTGTCCTTAAGGCCTTCCAAGTGGTGTTCGTCAGCAGCATTGCATTCATTTATGCTTTATCTGGCGTCATTAGCGGTGTTATTTTGCGTGCCAAGGGTATCCATGGACAAGTGTTCCGCTTCCTTTAAGGCACCTTCTGCTCCTCCCGCTGCTTCTCCTGTCGCATCAACTACCTCAGTGACATCCATAAAATGATCGAGACGTTGGTCTTCTGTGCCTTGGCCAGAACGGAGTTTGTTGGCATAAGTCGACATGCAGGTATCCGACAAGTGACCAAAACGCTGGCATTGCAAGCACCTCGGTGTTTTGCACTGTCGTCGTACATGCCCCACTCGCTTGCACCGAAGACACAGTGGAGGCCTACCGGGAATAAGTACGAGGCATTGGTGGCCATAGATTGACATAAGGTATGGTATTGAGCTCACAGTGATAGTGTCCTTGAGCTCCAAGGCAACGTCTCTATTTGTTGTCATCCATTGTTCCATTCCTGCACATCTCCATGCCTCTCTTTCAACGGACTTCACAACGCCGTAAGCTTGGAACGCCTCTTCAACACGTCGCGATTCAAGATGAGGCGGAAGCCAAAGTAGTTTCAGCCTAATATTCTTGGTCTCCGGATCTAGCACCATGCACTTCAGCCCTTTTACACGGAGCTCACCACAAGTGACGAGTTTCTGTTTCGCCATGCTGCTTGCACACGTAACCATCCATACATGGCTCATTTGATACTGGCCAACTCCAATAATGTCCGCTGTGCTCACCACTTTTAGCAGCGCGTCGCAGAAGTCTGGGGCAAGGTACGGCCTACCACTCAAGTCGGCATGAAGGAAAACGGAATTCAAAACATCGTTACTGGTTGGAAGACGTGGCAGAACGACTTTATAGCTTGAGTCTTCATCATGAAACGGAGTTGATGATCCTCGGCCGGTGTTTGTAACTTTGTTGTCAAACTTGCGTTAGGCAGACATGACCTAGCAACAATGGTACAGTGGGACTCAAACCCGTGTCCGCTGGGTGCCAGCCCAGTATTTTACCGCTGAGCTACACCGGTGCTTGTGACTTGTTGCCAAACGTGCTTTAGGCAGGCTTGGTGTCGGGAAAGCAATCGCGTTAATACGACTTATAAAACGTTTTACAACAGCGAAAGAACAACCAGTCGTCGCACAATGCGAGTAGCGTAATGAGTGAACCGTACAATCCTCCAAACGATCACAAAAGCTTGTTCTTGTTCCTCTATTAACTGTGGTGCATACCCATTTCAGCCATAATTTCTCATCATCGTCAGCCACTGCATGGACAATTGGCACAAAATTCCTTTGCAAGTGTTTAGCGGATACCAGGCTTCTCAGAAGAATGACGAAAAATAGCATAGCGAATGCCGAACTACTACCCAAAAGTTTATTATTAATGCCCTAGTGAGTACCAAGCAAGTGTGCTTGCAGCAGTTATTTAATGAGTGTTTTCAAAAGGCTCTGAAAAACAACTCTTCTAGCTTTCGCTGTGACTGTGCTGCGCCTACCGCGCAGGTCTGGTGTTTTTGCCAGCCTAGACGTATTGCCGGGAATTTTTCTAGAGGAAGGGGCAGCGAGTTGAATCCTTCCTTTTCTTGAATGCGCCAGTTCTGCCAGAGTAGAATGCAATTGCGTCCGCTTCATAAAACATTCCATCAGTATATTGCTACTTACAATCAAATCTTGCGGCGCAATCATTGCCAACGTCTGATTACGGGCTACATTCTTACGATGCTCGACCAGGGCGCAACCACGGTAACTGTGATACTTGTTTTTTGCATATCTACCCTGTACGTGACGTACCAGACGCAAAGGAAGAACAAGGTTCTCTTATTTCCTCAGCTTTCAGTAGAACATAAATTTTGTACACAAACATGCCCTTTCCCATGCGCAGCGAAATGCCGCACGTTTTAAAAGCGAACCCGTTCTTGGCGGAATCTTTCTGGGGGCCATCGTAGTATAGAGGTCGGATTTACCCACCTGAAAGGGGTGAAATCTGCTCCTTTCAAAGCTAGTGCGACTTGACCTTAGCCTGCAAATCCTGACATGGCTAGAACACCCTCTCTATAACGGACCTCAATTTGTAACTTATAATGATCCCACTTCACCCATCAGCTCAGTCGATTGTGGAGTGCCTAAAGGGTCACCATTGGGACCCCTTCTTTTCTTAATCTACATCAATGACTTACCTCAGCACGTAACTTCTAAAATTTATTTGTTCATCGATGACCGAGATGTGATCCGTGAAATTACCTAACGCCCAGGACGTAACCACACTGCCAACTAACCTTAGCGCTTTTTCTGACTGGTGTAACAACTGGCTAATGACACTGAACGATGATAAATGCAAAGTCTTATGTGTATCCCATACTGCGTGTAATGCGCCACCATACCAGCTTAACAGCACCATCCTTGAGTCCGTAACGTCTTATTGCTACCTTGGAGCACACATCAGATTTAACTTGGTTTCTTCATATTCACCGTATATAACAACAGCTAACCGAACGGTCCGATACCTACGACGTAATTTGTTTCCTGATTCCCGCATCACTAAAACAGCTTCTTTACAAAACCCTAATCCCTTCCTAACTTGAGTAGGCGTCTGCTGTATGGAACACGAGTCCCTACCAAGCTGATTGATTCACTTGAATTTGTTCAAGATAACTCTTCTCGATACATTCTTCACAATTACAATCGAACTGCTAGTATCTCCTACACAAAACCAACTCTCGCACTACCTTCACTTGCTTCACACCATTATTTTTCTCCACTGCCTTTTTCAGAAATTTTACTTCCGTAACAGCCATGTGCGTAATGAACAAATCGCTAAACCATCCTACCACTCCGCTCGCATTGATCGCTCCCACAAAGTTGGAATCATTTCCTGTCACTGCTGACTCCTGTTATTATGGATTTTATTCAGTGCACATCATAGAATTGATACCACCTTCCCGGAAGCGCCACCGCCATTGAGGACCCACCAGCTGTTCAAAACAATATTGGCTAGCAACTGTGCAAATGCAAGCCAAAAAAACTTGTATTTTTACCTATTGTTTGAGGCGCTTCTTGTTTGCTTTTAATAGTTTTATTCTTTTTTACTAACTTCCCCTTTGCAAAGCTTATTAACCTGAGGATATTAATAAAAATGAAATGATATCTCACTATGGATAAGGACAACTGCAACCTTTCTTGCTTACTATTTCCACCACGCACCACTATGCCCACTTCTGCCCCCCCCCTACCCCTCTCACTTCATTCATCCACTGTTAATGACTGTTCATTCTAACTTCACTTGAACCCCTTCATTCCCACTCCCTTCAATCTCACTCCTTTCATCATCATCTGATCGTCAGTGTCCGCCAAGCAAAACTGACTAGAAATATTTTTTCTGCAAAGGATGCTTCACTGCAATTACACGTGTCGTGCGAGGAAGACATTTGCTTGCACTAATGGAAATGGCAAATTACGTCGTCATGACAATTGTGTGCAATCATTATCAAGCTTTCTACTTAATGATAAATCGAATGCTTTTTTTCAATCATAGGCGTGCGTAGGGTGCGTGCGCCATCAGCTTAGCTATTCATTCAGTGTCCGCCAAACAAAAATAGTTCATTTTGTTTTTGTAAAGTATGCTTCACCTCAGTTTGATGTTGTGCGAGAAAGCGAATTTTCGCAGCCACCATTTGTAATTATAATTCACGTCGTCCTACCGATTGCGTGCAATCCACATCAGGCTTTCGACTTAATTATAAATATGATGCCTTAGTTGTGTTATAGAGGGTGGGAAGGAAACTATTACCTCCTCCTGCCCCTTCTCCCGCAACGTTTGACAGAAAGCAATATGCGCAATGAATGCTAAAATCAAAGCAGAGCGATGGCGTGCTTCTCGCGCCCTGGCTTTCTGAGAATGGGAAAAGCTCTTTGAATGCAACATCACGGGTCATCAGTCACTACTATCGTTAAAGAAAGTCACAGTTTCACTGCAAGGGTGAAGTAATGAATGCGATAGCAACATCTTAAAATGTAACGCTGAGAACAGCTAGCAGATTGAAACGTGCAGCGCGCTGCCCACGCACAAGTGACGCACGAAAACCGCACACACAGAACGAGAGCTAACTAACAACGTTTTCAGCTCGACGCTTAACACGCTGTTAACACAAAAACGACGCACGAAACATAAATAACAGTTACAGGTATGAGTGCGAACTAACGAGTGCGTCAGTTGTTACTTCGATGTGTTTGAAAAGCGCGCTATTTTCGCAGACGGGGCCTGTTCAGTGAGCGAAGTGACCTTTGCGGCCCAGGTAACTAACGGGATCGTTCCGGTGAAAGGCCAAGGCACACGATTCTACCCAACGAAGGGTAAGCGCGCGCGGACATTTAAGCACCTACCTCCCCCTCCCCCCCCCCCCCGGCCTTATACGCGGGCAAAGTACACGTGGAAAATAAGCGCGCGTGCGCATCGCGACACGCTATGTGCCCAGCGCGGGCGGCTTTTTTCTTTCTTGAGTTTTCATATATATAGATACGTATACATACACGATGCATGACGCTGGCGACGGCGGCGACGGCAAAACCAGCCGAGACTCTCCTATAATTGCTATCGTGATGAAAACAAGCGCTGTCATAACCTAACCCAATTATCAAGGGAGATTTGCCCCAGGTTGGCAAGCCTGTAGGGAGATCGGAGCTGGGCAGCCTTTTTCGTTTGTCTTCAGTTTTCTCTTTCTTTCCTTCCCTCTTTTTTATTCTATAATCCAGTTCTTTCTGTCTTTTTTCTCCTTATTTCTATTAATTTCTAATTTCATCCTACTTTCTATTTCTTTCCCCCCTTTCTAGTTCTCGCTTCCTTTTTCCTTTTTATACATTCACGCGTGCTTTTGCGTGCTTTTGCGTGCTTTCGCACTAATCGGTGACACCATACTTCTGCGTACGACAGTTCGGACCCCTAAAGTCCACCGCGCTTAATATCATCGACAAGGCGCTCGAAAAAAAGGATGAAGAAGACTTTTTGGCGCGAGCTAAATACGCTACAGATGGCTATGCTATGTTTTTGCCTGCGCAACGCCAGGCAACATAAGACGATGACAGCATACAACAGCCAAGGCTCCTAAAAATGACGTATAGTAATAATGACATGTGGAGTTTAACGTCCCGAAACCACCATATGAATATGAGAGACGCCGTAGTGGATGGCTCCAAACATTTATACCGTTCGGGGTTCATTAACTTGCACCCAAATCTGAGCACACAGGCCAGCAGCATTTTCGTTTCCATTGAAAATGCAGCCGCCGCCGCAGGTATTCGATCCCGCGACCTGCGGGTCAGCAGCCGAGAGCCTTAGCCACTATAGACCACCACGGCGGGGCTTAAAAATGACGTGATAAGAACCAAATGAATAGATGGTACAGAGAAAAATTGGCGCCCTTCTTCCTGTTCGCATGCCTGTAATAAATTTTCATTAGTCGTGTTGATGCAAAAAGAAATGGCGCAACTTGCACTAGTGGAACAAGGCTGGAACTAACAGCAGAGCTGGTGTTCGAACTCTCGAGGAGAAACCTGGCCTCCCAAGCCTGTGTCCATGTCCCGATTGACCTGACAAGCATTACAATGTCATTTTTTTTACGGGAACATGTCACGTGACTAGCGTTACGCCATTTTAGCGGGAACATGAGACGTGACCAACTTCACGTTACTATATTCTTCTTTTTCTTCGTCTTTCTTACTCTTTCTTTCTCGCTTACCTTGCTCTCTCGCTCTACATTTCTTTTTATTATATTTGTTTTCTTCCCTCTTTCTCTTTATCACATGTCTTCGGGGAGTCAACAAGAAGATGAAGGCAGTGCATGCCAGCATACTCTGCATTGGGTGTCTGCCATGAGAAAAGGAGAAGAAGGAGGAAATCTTGATGGCTTTTAATGAGCAAATTCAGAACATATATTTTAAATTTATTCGATGTTACTCCAATTTATATTCAAGATATGAACGATACTGTCTAGCTGGAATAGTAAGAAAACAATCACTGCACTTTTTGATTTTAAGTATGTTTTTTCCTCTTTTTGTTAAAATTATTTAACACTTGAAATGTCTATATAACCGATTCTTGTCCAATCCCCCTGAGTGGGAATGAGCCATAGTTGAGGTATCATCATCATTTTCGCGAACGCTGCTAGGGGGGTAAGCCTAGCGTAAACAGCCGCGTTGTTGAAAATGAAGGCTCATTTTCAGAAGGCTCACCGTACCAGAAGCGCGGTGGGTCTCCTCGCCGGGTTCCAGCGCAGCAGGTCTCGCATGAGGACGTGCGCCTCCCGGCTGGCGGTGGGAACCACGGCGGCCAGCGAGCCCTGCGGGAAGTGCGGCCAGCGCAGCTGCAACGCCGCGGCCAGCTGGTGTCCCTCGGGCCACTCGCGCTGGTCCGGCGTGCCCAGCACGGCGCATATGCGGAACAGCTGGTCCACCTCGTTGCGACCGGGGAACAGCGGCTGCAGCGTGTACAGCTCGGCGATGATGCAGCCCACGGCCCACAGGTCAATCGGGGAGCTGTACGTCGTCGAGCGAAGGAGAACCTCGGGGGCCCGGTACCTGCATGAGTGCGAGTTCCCGTGAAAAAAAAATATATGCGGAGAGCTTGCACTAGTGGCAGAAGGCTTGCCTAACACGCAGAAAAAGATGTCAGTTTGCATGAGTGGTGCAAGGCTGCACAAACAGTGGAGCTTCTGGCCAAACTAGCGTCTGTCGACTTCTACAAGCTGGATTAAGTCGTTGCTAGGTTCAGATATGGGCACTGCAAGGCTTGGCTGTGTGGAATATAAAACTATACTGTATCATGAAGTGTCGTCGTGTGACTACGTGAAATACTAATCAGCATGTTCCTAATGACATCGACTGAATTAGTTGGCATAATTATCAAGTTAATAATATGAGCGTTCTAATTAGCAAGGCCACAATTAGCGAGGCCATTTTTATATTGCTATTATTAGTATTAGTATTAAAATTTGATGTGGATACAAAAACACACAAAGACACAATGAAAATAGCAAAGACACGTGACAACTGGCATCTAAGACAGAGTAAATGGTAGAGAATGACAGGTAGGGAAGACCACCAGTCCAGGCATCCACCTATAGGAGCACAACACCTGCCTGCTTCTCTGAAAAGGGCGAAACATAAATTAAATATAGAAGGAAACGAAGAGGAAAGATGGAACAAGCTAATAACACAGACGGCGACAATAATAAGTAGGGACATGCGAAAATGCCACTAAATCTGAAGCAAAAAAAGGTTTCGTTCAAGTAAGCTAGCAGGGTTCTCTAGCACGCGGGTCTCTGAAACATCGTACACGTAAACATATGATTGATTTGTGGGGTTTAACGTCCCAAAACCACCATATGATTATGAGAGACGCCGTAGTGGAGGGCTCCGGAAATTTTGACCACCTGGGGTTCTTTAACGTGCACCCAAATATGAGCACACGGGCCTCGACATTTCTGCCTCCATCGGAAATGACACGTAAACATATGCTCACCATCTCGTGGACACGTAGTCTGTGTAAGGTGGCTGCGACCGGATCTCTCGCGCCAGCCCGAAGTCGGCGATCTTGACCAGCTGCGGTCCCATGCAGAGCAAGTTCTCGGGCTTGATATCGCGATGGAAGAAGCCGTGCTTGTGCATGAAGGCCAGGCCCCGCAGCACCTGCTGCACGATGGCCCGGACGGCGGCGTCCGGGAACGGCGCGTCCCTCTCCCGGATCAGCTGGTACAGGTTCTCGCGCATGTACTCGAACACGAAGTACAGCGTGTTGTCCTCGCGCACCACCTCCTTCAGCTTGACCAGGTTGGCGTGGCTCAGCTTCTGCAAAGACTGCGCGATACGCAGGCGGTCGGAGGCATGGAGTTCGCTATAGACGTGCTCCGTGCTTGCAAACAGCAGTACACATCGTCGACATACTGAGTCACTTCTGGCGACGTCGCAACGTGCTCGCTCCGTCCAGCCCAAGGTGCAAGAATAGTACCCTTGCACCGTGGTACAGTTCAAAGCTCACCGCCGCCCTCTATGATCACGTGACAACTGTCAAAGCAGCTGCAAATCAGCCTCCGAGCACTGTGCACCGAGAAGCCTCCCGCGTGCACGCGAGGAGGCTTCAATTTCATGCCAGATGTGATGTGAGTGAACAGAGTGCTGAATGCGTAGACATGAACCTTAATTATGCTATGTGTTTGTGCATCAGGGACACTTACTCGTAGACCAAGCAACATTTGTACAAAATGGATAAAGAGTGCTTCACCAGAAGACCCCCTTCGGGCTGTCCAGGAGGCCCGCAGACGGCAGTGATCTTCAGGCTCTCTGTCCCGACGTGGGAGGTGTCCCGCACACCTGGCGCACAGAAGTGTCCACAGAAGTGTGCCTACCAGGATCACTTCTGTGGGCAGCAAGTTTTACCACCACCACCATTGAGTCTTATGCATTATGTAACGGTATCGAAAGTAAGTAGTTCATCATAATTACCGCAAATTACATCGCCTATACATTCCTTGGAATTATTGCTTGTTAGCTGTCATTAATACTGCCACGCACTTACTCGTATTTCACTTTTGCTGTATTGTGTTTACGCTTACAAAGACTGTCAGCAAAGCTCACTGCGAATCATGCCTTCAGTGTTAGAGAAACTTCACGATTGTAGTAGATCGTTTTGTTCAGATTTCGTGCAAGACGCGAACACTCGAGCTTATTTCAGAGCTTGCGTGACAACCAGGCACAGGCGCTGGAATATTAGATGGGTGATGTATATAGAACGGTGTGTTTCAACGATGAACAGTTGGTCGACGGCCGTTGTCCTGTTCACAACTATCAGTGCCAGTGTGTATCACCGTAATCCGATTTTTGGTTTATTGGCCACAAGCTCGACCAAATGAACAGTTTTATCTTGGACATACATTCTGATCCCTTCGTCTATGTCACGACCCCTTAACAATAATTTGCCTAACAAAGAAATACGAGCCCTTAAAATTAACCTCCTTTCCTTCACTGAATTACTAGGCTATTAGAGCACAATGTTCGTCATCACAAGTGAGCACATCATCATCTATCAGTAGCTCCCAGCGCCACGCACAGAAACCAGACCCGGAAGCTACGCGGACAAGCGAACTCGCGGACTCTAAAGCGACCGGAAAAAAAAAAAAAAAAACAGCGTGCCCACCAACACGGAGTTTACGGTCAATCGTAAAGCGCCGCATCAAGGGACAACTCGGAGGTGGGTTGCCTCTGGCGCCATGCCTCGGGGTGCCCTGAGTTGATGTTGTTCTCTTGTTTCTGGAAGGACAACGTGCAACGAACGGGTATGGGAAAGGGAAACGATGCGTGTCAATTGCACGCGACCGCGAGTCTGTCTTAAACCGGGGGGTGCTTTGGATAACGCGCCGCATCGAATCCGGTTGCCCTAGTAAGCTAAATGCCCGCCAGAGGGCGCCACAGATGGCTGGAATGTTTGATTTTCGGTCGCGCTTTAACTTTTATTTCGTCATGCAATTCGCTGATGGTGATGGTAGTGATGGTAGTAGCTGTAGAGATGATGATGATGATGACAATAATTCTAATAATCAATCCATAATTTATTTATTTCTGGAAAGATCATGAGGTCTTAGTGCAGGCTCACGCAAAAATAAAACAATACAAATAAACAATAAAATACGGACACCCTTCTGAAAAATCAAAGAGTGAAAACACACAGAAAAAAGAAATCAGTGCAAAATCGGAAAATCAAAAGACAAGACCAGAATAATGGGAAGGAAGTAAAAATAAAGGGGAATATACACAACAACAACAACAACAACAACAACAACAACTAATAATAATAATAATAATATTAATAATAATAATAATAATAATAATAATTGGCAGATCCACGTACAGTGGAAATCGATTATATGCGAAGCACGAATGAGAAAGGTTGATATGTCACTTTAAAATCAGCAAAACCTTACGATGTGGTGGTAAATTATGACGCACATGACTTCCGTGCCATGATTATTATGTCTGGATGTGTCATTTACCTTCATCATCTATTCATGCCACGTGATACCGAATTTAGTATATGTGGAGCTAGCGAAACAGCCGCGAGCATGCCATGAGCGTGGTATGTTGTCATGTTCACACATGACACGCGTGTCAGGATTATCATATATGTATTGGCGCCTTGACTGTGGCATGTATACTGATATTCTTACATGACACGCATCTTATGATTATCATGTTTGCATCAGTCACATACCTTCGTCATCCAGTGACGTCACATAATACCAAATTTGGCATGTGCGAAGCTAGCTAAACGGCCGCGAGCGCATCATGAATGTGGCATGTAGTCACATTGTTACATGACACGCATGTCATAATTTTCTTATCAGGGTCTGTCGCTTGTGTTCGCCATGCTATCATGTCATACCATACCAGTTTTTGCTACATGTCTTACCATCATCTCATCGGCCCAGCTAACCTTCTATCTCCCCCTAACCCGCTTGCCTTCCCTGGGAATCGTCAGTTACCCTTAATGACCAATGGTTATCCTGCCTACGTGCTACTTGCCCGGTCCATGTCCATTTTTCCCTGATTTCAACTATGATATCCTTAATTCCACGTTTGTTCCTTAATCCACTCTGCTCTCTTCTTGTCCCTTAAGGTTACACCTACCATTTTTCTTTCCATTGCTCGCTGCGTCGTCCTCAATTTAAGCTGAACCCTCTTTGTAAGTCTCCAGGTTTCTGCTCCATAGATAAGTACCGGCAAGATGCAGCTGTTATATACCTTCCTCTTGAGGGATAGTGGCAATCTACATGTCACGATTTGAGAGTGCTTGCCAAATGTGCTCCACCTGATTCTTATTCTTCTAGTTACTTCAATCTCGTGGTTTGGCTTCACGGTTATTACCTGCCCTAAGTAGACATAGTCTTTTACAACTTGAAGTGCACTATTACCCATCTCAAAGCGCCGCTCTCCTCCGAGGTTGTTGTACATTGTTTTCGTTTTCTGCAGATTAATTTTAAAACCCACCTTTCTGCTCCCCTTGATTAACTCCGTAATCATGAGTTGCAATTTGTCCCCTAAGTTACTCAGCAATGCAATGTCAGCGCTCGGACTTACTGCAGACTCAGGTCGAGCCGTGAGTCAGAGTCCGGACCAGGAACATTTTGGTGACATCTGATTGAGTCCGGTTGGAGAAACTTTTCGTGAATGAGAGTCCAAAGCTCAAAATATATTCCTATGATTGAGTCTGAGTCAGCTCCAGAAGTTCTGCCGACCTATGCTCAAGTGTGCTTGTGATTTCATCCATCTCTCTCTCTTTTTTTATTCTGCCTCTCTTTTCACTCGTTCATGACTTTCCCCAGTGACGGGTCTGGGCGTCGGTCTAGTCAGCCTCGGTACCTTTGCTTCCATCTTTCTCTCTAGTTCTCTGCCGTGCTAAAAGCCGTCTGCATACTCTCACTATCATTAAATAATGATTCCTTCTAGTTATTGTAAAACAAACAATAGCCAACACGTTCTCTTCTTTTTTTTGTAAAATATTTACGATACGTTGGCGCTTTTGTAAAGCACCGGCCAATCCTTGCCACGGATGGGTGGATATGTGAAAAACACACCAATTTAAAATAATAACGGTAATATAAAGCGGCTACGCGGAGTTACTATAAACCAATTCTGATGAAAACTCGAAGGGAAACAAAGAATAGAGCCTTTTCGCACAAGAGTAAAGTTCACACAAATTGTACGTACGGGAACACTATACATGCTTGTGAAACATAGCAGCACTCAAATGGGAAAAGTCCTATCTGATGTCGCCACAGCGCCCCTTCCTTTCTCTGCGTTTTCGACGCACCTTGCCCTGCTGTCACGGTCGCTCTGGTCGGTCGCCACTCGCTATACTTCACGACTCAATTGTCGTGGTAGGTCGCGCAGACTCGCTATACTTCACGACTCAATTTCACACCTCGGAGTCTCCCGCGTAAACTGCGCGACTAACGAGACTCGAGCTGTGCTCGATATGCTTTCGACTTCCGCTTCCTATCACCCCGCAACATAACGAGTAGCTTTTTTTCTTTCATTTTTAATCCAGGACTCGTGAAGTGACTGCAACAAGCGCGAATGTTGCACACCCCGGTGCTGCCTGTCCTCGCGTTTCGGAGACCCGCCGCGGTGACTCAGCGCCTACTGCGGCACCAGAACATGTGGGTTCGACAATATGGCCTTGTCAGCCGCTCTTCGGTGGCCAAAAGACAAAAAAAAAGAAGAAAAAAAACTCGCAGTGTTCCTTATACCAACGACTTTCCTGTAAATACGCTGTCACCCGGCCCCTGGAGTAGCCCCTCAGGTGAACAACCAGGCAAACCTCTCCAGCTCCCCATTAAAATAATTCTATCTCAGTGCCCCACCACGGTGGTCTAGTGGCTAAGGTGCTCGGCTGTTGACCCGCAGGTCGCGGGATGAAATCCCGGCTGTGGCGGCTGCATTTCCGATAGAAGCGGAAATGTTGTAGGCCAGTGTGCTCAGATTTGGGTGCACGTTAAAGAACCCCAGGTGGTCGAAATTTCCGGAGCCCTCCACTACGGCGTCTTCCATAATCATATAGTGGTTTTGGGACGTTAAACCCCACAAATCAGTCAATCAATCAATTCTATCTCACTAGAGGGAGCTCTGGCCTTAGAATTAATGGGAGCTGCAATTCACGCGAGCGTGGGAATGATGGGTAGTACACAAGTTTGTCCAATCTTGGCACTTTCGCCTTTGTTTGGCTCCGTGTGGCTTTGCGTGGCTTTGTCACGAAACGACAATCAGCAAATGTTCAGCAGTTGCACTTCATCACCTTAACCTTTCAGGCTCACCAACTCCAATCGGGTCACAAAGTTTACAACTGTTACTTTTCTTATTCCAAATAAAACCGAAACACAACAATAAACAAAGCCACAAGTGCGCCCGAAGCCCATGATCACGAGGACTAGGCAAATTCGTGAACCAATCATAATTCCCATGGTGGCATGAACGGTCGAAGCGCCAGAGTCCCCTCCAGTTAATTTTAGAAAACCCTATGCCCTAATCAACGTTACTGGTTGGAGGTTGGCCCTTATGCACTCAATTAAGATGGCTCGAAGGCGAAAGCCATAGTGTTTTTTTCGTATGGGTCGATGTGCTGATGCCAACCTGTCGCCTTTGAATAGCTTTCTCCACCTGACGTGGTTCAGCACTGCCTCCAAAATCGGAGGCACCTCATCTGGTTTTCCACTGCCTCCGTGATCGGTTTAGCTCTGACGAAGCCATGTGACGACGTCCTCACGCGACTTCACGGAATCTCTCAATTGTGACGTCATCGTGACGTCATGTGGTGACTTCATCACACAACAGCATTTTTTTTTTTGCATCGCTCGTCATGGACGCCGTGGGACAGCCGAAAATTCGCATTCGAACCCACGACATTCATGTCAAAAACCAAGCACAATAACCACTGATCCACCGTTGTGAACCGGAGTTTTTATTCAACGGTGTGGTAAGGTGTATATTGAGACTAAAGCCCTGCCAAGTTGAGAGAGAGAGAGAACTCTTTTATTGAAGTGCAGAGAATTTAGCCGGCATGTAGAATTCGCTGACTAGCTACTCTGCGTGCGGAAGGGGATTGAGGACTGAAAGTACAAATAAGAAGAGAGAGAGAAAAATATAGATTGTGAATATAGATGATAGAATAAAAAAAGCAATAGAGGAAAAGGCCACCTCTTTGACCATTGAATGAGGACGTGCGTTAATAGTTTTTTCGTGGTATCAAGCTACAGCTTGTCTAGCTGACCAATGCTGTCCAAGTACGCAAATAAAAGTTTCATAGCACGCCTCTGTAGAAATGGGGCAGGCTAAAGGTCCCAATACATAGTCAAGGTAGAAAGTTCTCTCGGTTATAGAATGCATGCAATGCTCATAAAGTGCACGCTCCTCAGAATACGCTCTACACTTAAACAATATATGTTCCACAGATTCGATGGAGCCACAGTTGTTGCAATACGGACTCGCTGACTGACTGAAGCGGTGCCGTAGGCTGTTAACATAGGCACTGTTTAGACGTAGACGATGGTATAGCGTTTCCAGATGGCGAAGGAATTTTGAATGAGAGTCTTGTTCTCAGATAGGGGTCGATTGAGTGAAGGAAGGCATAATGATGAGTCGGAAGGTTCCAGCGTCTCTTATTTTCTTCAATCGCAAGTCTTTCGGCCAGTCTGAGCTGCATCTAATTTAGTGAAATAAGTTCGTCTGTAATTGTGGTGTTCAAGACCCTTGCGTGCTGCTTCGTCTGCTTTTTCGTTGGCGGAAATTCCAGAATGAGCCGGTATCCACTGAAATGTGATAGAGTTCCCTGCCAAGTTGGTAACGCTCCTGCTTCAGCTCAGAAAATGAAAGAAAAAAAATTAGCGCCGTTTTAGATGAGCCGTTCTTCATAATGAGCCATGCGCTCGAACGGGGCGATTGAAATTAAGATGCATTTTTGTAGCGCTCCCCTGTGATCGGGTATGCAGCAGCGTCGGCTGTTAAATGTCTGCGCGCTCAGCGGCAAGAGTTTGTCTTATCCAGATCACGCACGCTGGACGTGAACAGTGTTTTCTCTTCGGATGGGCGTGACCGTGTGAATCGTCCATTCCGAGAAGAGTGCAGAAAAGAGATAAACGACGGGACTGAGTAGCGAAGCCGAAGCGTGAGTCGTTACGAAGCAGGCAATGCGCCGCGACGCTCTTAAAAGGGTTCTTCGGAAGGGCATCTGCTCACCGAAGGATTAACGTCTTCGATTAACATATCCGAAGTTCCTAAGTGTTACCAGGTGGCCAGACCAGTCGTCAAAATGGCTCGGCCCCGATCTTCACGTAAGTAAGAGCGACGCTGTTCTTAGTCCGACCTTTCAAGGCCGGGATTCGTGGTAACGCAGGTGGACACCGTAAGAGGGTATATATGCGCGCACATTAATTGAGGTAAATTCGAAACTCACGACTGGTCAAGTAAATAAATTCAGCAAACAGTTAGTCCAGCAAACGCGTGTGTGCCACAGAAATTCTCATCAGAAAAAAAAATCATTGTGTATGCGCCACAGACAGTGGGTAAATCCCACTGCACACAATGTTTCACTAAAAAGAAAAAAAAAGCAATAGTTAGCCCAAGAAATGTCACGCGCGTTACCATAATCACGTCGCTGTCACGTGATACTGTGTGATTATAAAAAGATAATGGTTACAATACCACCTCAAAGCTTATTATAGAGTGTTTATTAAAGAACAGCGATACAACATCTCTAAAAACTTGCAAGAAGATAAAAAAAAATGCGACAGCCTGATAAAGGGAAGACACGGAGCTCCGCTCTTTCATTAGTGTCAGCAAAGCGGATTTGGTTGGATTTTTGTTGTGCATCGATTCATTGCCGATTTGCGCCTTTTCAAATTCACAAATCTATACGTATTTTTTGTTTGTTTGTATGTTTGTTTGTTTATATTTTAGCCTTTGAATACAGCTTACCGACCACTCTGGTTTGTCTTAATGAATGTGCTACTGACTAATGAAACCTACTCACTATGAGTAGGCTTCATTAGTCTAATATTGATATCGTAGCATACGTTGGCGCCCAAATGTGACACCGGCTGCACCTTAGCCATTGAATGAATAGGGCATACAAGGTAATTGTGATTACCTACAACAAATTACGGCTTCGTGGAATGAAAGGAACTGGACACACTACAACCATGTAGGCAAAAATGAAAGCAAGAAAAACAGTAATCGTAATTCACACCGTAGAACGGATTTAGTTCGACATCTATAAAATACCTAAGACAGAGGGAAGTACGGTGAAAGCAAATCACGCCTTATCTAATGTTTTTTTTTTTTTAGCGTAAGTACGCCTTTATATTGTTCTTAAGTTAACAAGGACACTGCATTGCTCCTCGTGCACCACTGCTTTTTTACTTGGAAAAAATTGGGACAGTTTCGCCCTAAGGTGGTGCCAAGTCCGAAGGTAGTGCGGTGTTAGACAGCCTTGTTATTGTTGTTGACGATGATGTTGTTAATGATTATGTTACTGCTTATGCTGTCGTTGTTAATGTTGATGTTTTCCTGTGGACGCGGCCCACACTCATAAGAGGGGATTAGCCGAGTAGAAAGTGCATTTTCTTGATACTTTCTCCATTGCTTCATTCCAAGGAGCGCTAGTTAGGTCATTCTTTTTTTCCCTCAAGTTTTCCTTTTTATTCTTTTCGTATTTTCGATTTTCCTCCTTTTTTCTTCGTTTTTCAACCATGTTTATTTCTAGTTTCTTCTCATTTTTTCTTTGTCTATTTATTTCTTGCTTGCTTCTGTTTTTTTATTTCTATTTATAAACGTCATTTCGCACGCGTTATGGCAAGACATACGACAGCCGGGACCCCTAATGTGCCCGCCGCTAATAACAAAGAAGAACGCGTGGAATTTCGAAAGACAAGTGACAAGGCCGGAAGGAAAAAAAAGTGAGAGGGGGCAGGTGGGTAGAGCTCGTGGATTTCACATCGACGTGTACAAGAGGCATGTCGGTAAGATACGTTCGAAGTGGCTTCAGGGCAAGTAGACACAGTACACGCACACTCGATAAATACCCGGCGGTTTACATCTCAGATACACTGGAGCGGTCGAGACGTGTATGTACAAAGCCGTGTATATTTCTACTGTACCTATTTGTCTTACGCCGAAGTTTCGGCGCGTTTCACTCAAGGACATCCGACACTAAGACGGCGTTGCGGCGATACGGATAGCTCTAAGTTGACACAAGAATCCGTCCCCCCCCCCCCCCCCAAAAAAAAAAGAACGTCAAGATCAGCAGCTGTTTAGCTCGCCAAAATTTGTCTTCTAACCCCTCTCACTCAATCTACGTGAGGAGCTCGTTTTTCTACTTGTAGGAGCAAATGCGACAGAAGAGAAGAAAAAACGATGCGTGGCCAATAAACACAAACACGTACATGCTTTCTCTCTGGGAATGCGGTCAGACAGCGCACACCACTCGCGATGGTCAGACCAGGGACGAAGTCCCTCAGGACATACAGACGCGTACGATTGAAATGTATACACGACTACTCGAAAAGCAGCGCTCCATCACGCCCCCCTCTCCACTTGACTACGCAACAGCGCTCCCCGACTCGGAGGTTGTCGACAAGCCGAGCGACTGGCCATTCGCTGACACTCACCTTTACTTCTCGCAGGTTCATGCACTCTTCCCACGAGTAGTACTTCTTCTTCATCCTGCGTCAGAGAGAGATGGATGAAGAGGGTGCAAATAAGTACGGAAGAAAACACAGGTCTCCGTTACTATTTGTTCGTTCTCCTCAACCCCGCGAACGCGAATGCCCGACAGTCTCTGTCCGCGCGGCATTCGGCGATTGCAGCCTTCTTCTTATGCTACAAACGCCGCCGTCTCCCGCATGTATGCGTACATACATCTAAGGTGAATATTCATGAGCACCCCAACTTCCGGGCTACCCGCCCCCTTGCTATACATCATCATCAAGGGTAAGAAGATGCGTCGCTCTACGATCCCTCAGCGCCGCGCAATTTGTCTCGAGCGCCGACGGCCACACGGACGCCCAGGCCTCATTACCGTCGGCCGATGACGCCAACCTCCGCAGCGGTCGCTGACGTTAAGGAGCAGAGTGCTATCGCCCGCTCGCCTGCCGAGAGGGCACATGCCTCGCTTAAGTGGACAGGCGAAGATTCTCTTGGAGAGTTGGCGGGAGGAATCAATCAAGGAGGCCTCGAGTCGGGGGTGGACGGTCGGGTCCGAACGACGGCTGCTGGCCACGTTCGTAAGTTAGGCAACTGGGTTACGCAAGACGTGAACGCCGGTGTACGTAGGTGGCCGGGCAGTTGCAAGTGCGTCGAGTGGCCGTCGGAACAGATTTGCGTTGCGGCACGTTAGGTGAGTGTCGGGTAGTATATGAGACGAAGAAGCAGAAGGGCGCCTTGTGAGGAATTATCCGGGAGCAGACGTTGCATAGATAGATAGATAGATAGATAGATAGATAGATAGATAGATAGATAGATAGATAGATAGATAGATAGATAGATAGATAGATAGATAGATAGATAGATAGATAGATAGATAGATAGATAGATATTGACGTCAAATAAGATCAAGATGCTTAACTAGACGATATAGTCAGATTGTCTACCTGTATTGGAGAAGAGGAAGTCGCTACGAAAAACATGAGAAAATCACACGAAGAGGGAACTGCGCGAAAACGCTAAGAGTGGGTGATGGCGAGGTCGCACAATCTGTGATGCATCCGCACAGTCACACGTAAAGCTCGAAAATGTCCCGCTGACACATAAAACCATAAACGCATTTCGTAAATACAACTAATTAAGAAGCATAGCGATCGGTTAGAAACGCACTATTCAGAAAAGCAGTTGACTGCAGAATTACTCTCTGGGTGAACCAGTGGCTTCACAGTGGACTGCGGTGTACAGAATGAATGAGAGGGAACGGCGAGGGCGTGGCCTGCGCTCTGCAGCGGCTGCCTGCGGCACCATCAGCCGACAGACGTGGCCTCCGCGATCAGCTGCCGGCGATCGCGGAGGCCACTTGACAGAGAAAGAAAGAAAGAAAGAAAGAAAGAAAGAAAGAAAGAAAGAAAGAAAGAAAGAAAGAAAGAAAGAAAGTAAGAAAGAAAGAAAGAGCACCCTTTGCGAGCACAATTTAGAAGCGCTTGTTCAACGGTCATGACGCCATAATTGAAAATTTTGTTGAAGAGGCTGACAAGGACCTTGTCAGCCTTCCTTGTCAGCCTCTTCTGTCCGTCCGTTTTATATTGCGCTTCAACAAAATTTTTCATTATAAACGTTATCCAACTAGCCAAACTTGCCACCTTACGGTCATGACTTGTTTCTTTTGCTGACAGATTACGCGAACAGCGGACGCACTTTTTTTTTTTCGGTCAGTTGATGGCGCTGTAGGCAGCCACGACAGAGCGCAGGAAACGCGTTTGCGTGCTCCCTTTAACAAATATTTACACTGTAAATAGGCACTATCTAAATATAAAATATTATTATATTTTCTTCTTGAGTAATAGCCTAAAATTCAATCACATCTTTTTTTTAGCCTATAGGCTGTTACATTGTGGCAAGGGTAGCACGCAGAAAAGGCGAAAAAAAAAAAGGGAGGGGTCGAATAATGTGGCGAATTGATAATGGAAGTATACAGTTACTTTCTTGCTCAACATCGTGGGCCCGTTAGAGATGACGCCGTTTATGTGCAGCCCCACGCAAACAACATAAACGCCGCCGATCAATCACGATAACAATGTTAATGAGGCACTGCTCGAACGCACAGAGTGGCGACTTGCCAGCGAAGAGGTTAGTTTGTATGGCAGGCGTGCACGGATGAGGGAGGCGACTGCAGCAGGAGGAAGGATTCGACGGCCTCTATCAAGTGCGCGATGGTCGCGCAAGGCTCTCGTACATGCTCGGAATGAACGGGATCTCGCGGAATGCGGTCACCACGTCATGTGCGATTCCGTTACTAGGGATTGCCGCGTGTCGGGGACTCGTTATACGAACGGAATGAAAGAAACAAAACTCTCGTTACAACGAATTACGTTTCGTGGACTCGGTATCGAAAGGGGGTAAACCATCGCGACAACGAAGTCGCCGGGACAGATGCTGGGTCGTTAGTTTCAAGGACGCAAAATAACCACGAATATAAAGACGCGAATTCTCGTTATAACGAAGTCATGAAGGCCGCTGTTGGGTCGTCAGTTTCGGTATACAAGGTAGGCACAAACAAGGGTGTGTAAATCCTCGTTGTAACAAAGTCACGAGGACAGCTTCTGGGACTTGGGTTTGGTGGGCGCCAGTTGATTATGAACAAGACGCAGTAAACACCTGTTATAACGAAGTTATAACACGGCTGCTTGGTCGTGGGTTTCAGGAGCGCAAGGTAACTAACTATGAGCAAGACGCTAGAAATTCTGATTATGATGGAGCTGTCAGAACAGCTACTGTGCCATGATTTCAAGGGTGATAAATAATCGGAACGACACATTTTTGTCAAAACGGAAACAAGAACAACAACAACAACAACAACAACAACAACAACAACAACAATAATAATAATAATAATAATAATAATAATAATAATAATAATAATAATAATAATAATAATAATAATAATAATAATAATAATAATAATAATAATAACAAATGACGTTTTACGTCCCAAACTTATGGTATGATCATGAGGGGCGCCGTAGTGAAGGGCTTAGAGAATTTTGACCATCTGGTGTTTTTAAGAGTGAAGTGACATAGCACAGTACACACGTGCCTGTACTATTCCGCCTCCATCGAAATGCAACCATCGAGGTGGGGATCGAACCTGCGTCCTTTGGGTCAGTCGACTAGCACCCTATTTGCAGCGAGATTTAGTGGATCGACAATGTGCAACGTGCGCTTCTTGGCGTAGACAATGTGCTCCGTTTTTTTACGTTATCAGTACGGCACAAATAGCGTCGCTCCAACAGAAGCAACATAATATATATAACTTGGATTATGTGTAAGTAAATTGCTTAAATTGAGGACGACGAAGCGAGCAATGGAAAGAAAAATGGTAGGTGTAACCTTACGAGACAAGAAGAGAGCAGAGTGAATTAGGGGACAAACGGGGGTTAAGGATATCATAGTTGAAATAAAGAAGAGGAAATGGACATGGGCGGGGCATGTAGCGCGTAGACAGGATAACCGCTGGTCATTAAGGGTAACTAACTGGATTCCCAGAGAAGGGAAGCGGGTTAGGGGGAGACAGAAGGTTAGGTGGGCAGATGAGATTAAGAAGTTTGCGGGTATAAATTGGCAGCAGCAAGCACAGAACCGGGTTAACTGGCGGAACATGGGAGAGGCCTTTGTCCTGCAGTGGACGTAGTCAGGCTGATGATGATGATGATGATGATGATGTGTAAGTAATGACCTAAGCTGCAGCAAACATGTTACTATGTTACTACAGGTAACTGTCTACGTATACTCTTTTTTTTTTTTCTAAATCGATCCTTAAAGTATTCTATCCCGACTGTACGCATGCTAGTATAAAAAAAAAAACACTCATTCATCCTATGCTTGAATATGCTGTAGTTATATGGGATATATTCACTAAATGCAACATTAATCAACTCGAGAAAGTTCAAAAGAAAGCCTTACGTTTTATTTATAACTCTGACGGCAAAACACCAGTCTCTCAGCCACTGATAAAAAGTGGCCTGCCCACCGTTACAGACAGAAACCGCATTTTCCACATTAAGTTTTTTTTTTTTCAAATACTAAATGATCATTTAAATGTTGAAACTTCAGGCATCCTACAATATTCTTCCAGTTACGTCACTTGTAAGCGACACATCAAAATGCCCACTCCTCTAAATTCACGGATTAACTGCTAAAATTATTCCTTCGTCCCCAGAACTATTATAGACTGGAATAACCTTGCAAATGATGTAGCATTACATAACACACTCTCACTGTTTGAAAGCAGCCTCACCTAAACCATCACTTGGTATTGTATTATATTTGCTTTAATGTAATTATTGTATTATTTGTAACATGCATTACGCTATCATGTTATTATGCATTTTGTTATTCTGTATTGTGTGACTTTGTAAATTTATTGAAATCAGTATTGTTGTTTTTTTGCCTTATTCTTGCATATTCACATTTGTACTCTTATTGTTTGTTTAAAGGCATGTCCTACATTTGAATACTTTTCCCACCCTGCAATGATTTTACAACTGAAAGATCGCGGTATTTCAAAATAAATAAATAAATAAATAAACAAACAAATAAATAAATAAACAAACAAATAAATAAATAAATAATGGAAGCCTTACTGTAATGCAGCACCATTTTCACAGTGATTCTGCTGTTTAGGCGGGAGTTCGCTCTTTAGATATTCGCAACTTTCTGCAGCTCACTTAATTTTCGATGGCGGTGTAAATAGTCGCCCTCTATCTTGGTATATTTGCGTCGCAGCAATGAGCAATTATTACCACCGCATCACGTAAGAGTGGGCACACGGCGGGCGCCGAAAAAGGCAATACTCGGCCGCGGAGCAAGCGAGTCCTTGCCGTCACGTCACTTCACCTAACCTCACCCGCGCTACTGCGCCACCAGTGTTCGTTCTCGAGGCTAACATTCGTGCGAGACAAGGATGAATGAACGGATGGGCGGCTGCATGGAAAAGCAGTGCAGAAGACAAATCACGTGTG